CTCAGCAATCTGATCCAAGCGGCCCAAGAGAGCATCAATGTTGGACTTGATCTGGGTCAATTCTGTCTTGATGATCTGCAGCTCACTGCTCTTTACTAGGAATTGGGGGGAATAGGACTGTCACCTGGTGGTTTAAATCTAACAAAGCTCCAATCCCACTGTGTCAATCAGAAAGGCAGAGTTTTGTTTTTTTCCTGGCCAGGGAAAGGCTTCTTAGGTTGCCTGGAGACCACCCCCAGAGTGAGTGACCAGCCCATGCTTCTGAACCGGGATGTTACTCTCCTGGACATCTCAATCTACAAGGGGCTAAGAAGGAACAGGAATGCAGGCTTATGGTGTGCTCCTGTGTGGATCTCCACAACAGTACCAGTCTCTGCTTAGAAGTTGGAAATCTATCTTACAATGGGTGAAAAGAAAGCCTTTTGTATTTGGATTTGCTGAGTGCCTGAACGTCAGAAAAAATGTGGAGTAATGGGCCTGTGTATCACCTGACTGGGAACCATGTAACGGCACTAGATTCTATTATCCACTTCAAGCCCCACCTCCTCAAACATCAGACTTTTCCTCTCAGAAATTCATGAAAACATTGGTTGCTGTTACAGCAGCAAAACTGGGGGAAATTTGTTCCTTTTTTTTCTATTTTCTGATATAAAAATGTGCTTCTATTATTTGCTAATGATAAAAATATACATTTTTTTCAAGATGATGATGGTGCCACTCACACTTGATCTTGGCTGAGCCGGTAGTCATGCCTCCGGAACGGGCAAAGAGCTTGACAGGGATGGTAGTTTTGACACGACGGACCAAAGGAACTGTGACACGGGGTCGTTTCACGGGAACTGCCCTGGGCACTGGCACTGGTGACAGGCGACCTCGATAGTCAAAGAGTCTGTGAAGGCAAACAGGCCAGAGGCTGCAGTATGGCCTGTGGCCACCAGAGAGTACTGCAGTACTAGCCCTACACACTTGGCTAATAAGGAGCTGAGGAGAGGGGACTGTACACCTCTGCCTGCACCCAAAAGCCTCTGTGAAGACTTCCTGAGCTCTGATGGTTGCTGGTATTCTCTCTGTATCTACTTTCCTAGCCAGCCTGGCCAGGTGTTGGCAGGACAGACATCAGATAATAGTGGTCCCAAGTCAATAAGAGGAACAAACGGACTAGCCCCAGAAATAAGCCTTCTTCTCTAGATCACTCTGAGACCCAAACTAGCCATTTATACAACGTGGCTTCTGCTACCCCAACATCTGGTCAGAGTTTTCACATCTTTAAGCAGTACAAATCTCCAGAATAGCAGTAGGGCTGGGTATAGGTGGGAATCCCCAAGCCCATCTGAGCTGACTCAGTTTTCCCATGGGCCTAATGAGGATAGCCATTAAATTCAGTACTAAGACAGTTTGGGGTTAGAGAATAAGAAGGGTTGACTAATCACACTACAATTTCTGCCAGGCAGAATTTCAGAGTACTTAAACTTGAAGTCAGCAGTTCAGAGATGTGAGGCCAGCCTCTAAGCCTTTCTTTTTCTGGTCACCACAAAATCTTTCTTGCTCCACTTCCAAGGTGGAGTCCAAGGCTTGACAGCACAGCAAGGCTCGGGAATTCAATCAGATGCCAGGGCCTGATCAGCACTATTACCCAGTCCTCTCCTGGAGGGCTTCCTTTTCTGCTAACCAGAGAGAAGCTCAGTAGTTTTAGTAGGTGTCTCTCCCACACCTGCTACTACCACTATTTTACAGAGAATCACAGTCTCGGTCAGGGGTACACTCTGGTACTATATCCTCATGCAATACATAATACTTGCTATCACCAGGCAATTCGAAGTACCATTTATGGCACTCCTTTGTTCAGGAAGTCCTGCCTTGGGGATGGTGATGGCTAGAGAGTCTCTGGGAATGGATCCAGGCCTGAACCTTGAATTTCTATCCCCAAGGGGAGGGGGCGGCTCTGGCCTTGGTCAGAATCACTGAACCACAGAATCCCAGAACTAGAGGAGCCTGGAGAGATGATTTGGTGCAAGCCCATTTCACAAAATTTGCCTAAAGTCATAATTCACTCAGTGACAGAGCTGAAATCAGTACCTAAATCTTCTGACTCCCAGGCTAAGGCATGTCTATCATACCGATTGCCTGGGGTGTGTATGTTGGAGGGAGGAAGTGAAGCAAGGAAGAGGAAAGAGCTGGGTCAGTATTCACCATGACTTTTACTCAAAAATATGGCTAGTGTCACTGGCATGGGAGCACAGCCCACAGCTTCAAGTCTGGGATCAGGGTAGGCTTGGGTATGGAGAGTGGGACATAAAACCACCAGGGACTAATTCTGACTGCCAGATGGCTATAAATGTAAGGGTAAGAGGCTGAGCTCTAAGGCTCTGTTCTGGTTGGATACCTCACAAGGCTGAAGAGACTGCAAGACAAAAATATGAGGACTCAAACTAACTGCAACTAGCAACTGTATTACTCTGTATTCTGGCTGGCTATATTTATGGTCCTTGGGTATACAGTCCCCTGGTGTCTCATTAGAGGAAAGAGAAGCCAGAATCAGACTAGAAGACAAGATGGTATGATGATAGGAACTCGAACATGGGCACCTGAAGAAATGGACCCTATTTCCAGCTCTGCCATTGACTTGTGCAGCAACCTTGGGCAAATGCCTGTCCATGGTCTGGGCGTTTGTTCCCAACTGGAGGACTCAGTGGGCTGCACCAGCAATCTCTCAGGACCCTTCCAGCCTGGCTGTTTCATGCCTGAGCACACCCCTCCCCTGCTCACCTGTCATAGAAGTTGTCCCGGAAGTAATCATAGTCAAAGCTGGGGAAACAAAGGGGAGAGGGCTAGAGCTTAGGGGTGGCCACTCAGTCTTCTTTCCATAGGCCCTCAACTCTAAATGCCTCCCCAACTTCTAGGTTCAGGACAGTTACCACCAGCAATTACTCCCTCTGTGGATATAGACAGACAGACAGACAGACAGACAGACAGACAGACAGACAGACAGACTGACTGACTGACAGAGTGCCCACCTGTATATGGCAGATGCTGCTCTCTTTAGCCCTTTGGGTCTGTTGGGCTTGGGTTCCCCAGCCATGTTGATGTCTGTGGGGAATGAAGAGTCAGAATGCTGACCTGAGAACAGTTGTCTGTGCACGTTTCCCCATCATGCACAAGTACAGTAATTCATGTGTTTATGTGGCATAGAGATAGTACAGTGATGGGAGACAAAGGCCTTCACAATAGTTTTCAAAAATCAGGCTTGTATCCAGATATCACATGGACATGCCTACTTGCATATTCCACAGACACTCAGACACATGCACATACACTACCAAACCAATCAAACATGACATACATCATACATGTCTACATAAGCAGAACTGAGAATGCATACATCAGATACATAAAAACACACAGACACACTCACATCCACTCTCAACCACTGATAACACTGGCACCTCAGACACGCTCAGGCCTGGCTCCACAATTATATTATAATTGCATACATGTGAGAAGGCCAACATACACTCTCATGGATATCCTACCAAACATCTGTGTGTCTAGAAGAGTGCACAACACATGACATGACTTCAAGAAACATTGGCAAATGAATGCATGTGTATCTTACATGCTCAAGTGTTTAACACAAATAGCACACTGTACCTATAACACAAGGGTACATCTCCACATATTCTCCATATGCTGTCACATCTATATACTGCATATTTATTAATACATTATATATACAGATGTCACCTTTCAAACATACATACACAGAAATACGTACACAACAATGAATATGTATTTGAAGGCAGAACACCAGTGTGTGGTTACACATGTACCACACAATGTACCACCAAGGCCAAGAGAACCTGCCCTGCTTTGCTGTTGTGTTCCTAGCTCTTCCTAGCTCTCAGAAAGGTTTCCAACTTGGCTCAACTGCAGGCTGGGGTAACAGGCTATGCTAAGATCACTCTGTTCCTTTTCTCTGAGAAATGTGCATTTTAAGTAGAACTACAGAGCTTATTATTAAGAAGCAATGAGGAGCTAGGAGTGATGGCACATGCCTGTAATCCCAGCATTTGAGAGGCTGGGGCAGGAGGATAATTACAAGTTCAAGGCCAGTTTGGGCTACACATTGAGTTCAAAGATAACCTGACCTACATAGCAAGACCCTGCCTCAATAAAACAGCAAAAGCAGTAAGAAAGCAGGGACAGGACAGAGCATTTTCCAGGAGTTTCTAGAATTCTCCCCTCTAGGGCTTTGTAACTATTTAATTTACATTTTAAATATAACCTATAACTACTGAAGTTATACTATTTTAGAGAAGTGGAAGTGATGGTGGTCTAAAGAAGGAAACCAATAGGAAAAACAGAATAAAAGATACCAGCCACTTTGCAGGATGCTAAGAGAGCCCTTTTAGAAGAAGGTTGGCTTACCCAGGGTCTGCCCAGCCAGCACCCGTCCATTCTCTCCCAGCACAGCTGCCCGGGCATGGCGCTCATTAGAGTACTGAACAAAGGCATATCCTTTG